CATATCCACAAGAACACCCACACTTGCAGATAATACCCATTTGACCTAGCCTCAATGACTGAGTGATCAGAGCTCAACCAGAAGAAGAAAGAAGAAGAAAAAAAGAGTAATCTGATACAATTTGCTGAACTTCACCTACACCTATGGATGCAGTAGCTCAAAAGAGGGAACAAATCTTTACAGCAGGAATCATTCCCACCTCCTCCATACACAGAGTAGACAGAGATGAGCAACTTGGACATTGGCTATCCAAAATGGGGGCGTTTGGCTTAGTGTGGTTTGCTTGGACCTAGTTGAGCTTATTGCATTTGTCAATATTCTTCTCCAACTCTATAACTCAAGTGCATAAATTCTTATATGATCTTCCTTAGTTATTTTCCAACTTTCACATGCATATGGTAGAATTGGAAATGCCATAGCTTGAGTTAGTATTGCCCTCAAACGGATATCTTAGTTTTTCAACACTTTAAAGATGTGCAGCAGATTTGCATAATGCAATCTGTTGTTTGATTTCATAACAGTTGCTGACATTAGTGTTGATTGTGAATGAAAGCAAAATGAAGTCTTTGAAAACTTCAAGATTTCAAAATGAAATCTTTGAAATCTTCTTTTATCATGATGTTATTTATTGGTTCATTAGTGATGATTTTGTTTTCTTTTCTTTGAGGTGCAACCCATACTGAAAACTATGGTCATTGATATGATTTAGAAAGTATTTTAAGTCGTCATCAATTCCTGCATATAAAATTATATCATCTGCATATTGCAGGTTGCTAATGAGTCTTCCTCCAAACCTGATGCCATGTTTTTCTTCATATAATCCAGTTTCTCAGATTATTTGCTCAGCATTCAAATTGAGTAACTACAGTGAGAGAATATTACCCTGACACACAGCTTTTCTGATCTTAAACCATTCCATTTCCTCTTGTTCTATTTTGAATGGGTGTCTTTTGGTCTATGTACAGGTTCCAAAGGGGTGTTCCATAAAGTGTTCTGGAATACCTATTCTTCACAGTGTTATTCATAGATTGTCATGATCCACACAGTCAAAAGTGTTTGCATAGTCAATAAAACACAAGTAAACATCTTTCTGGTATTCTCTGCTTTTAGCCAAGATCCATCTGATGTCAGTAATGACGTCGCTTGTTCCACCTCCTTTTCTGAATCCAGCCTGAATTTCTGTCAGTTCTCTGTTGATGTGCCTTTGCAGCCATTTTTAAATTATCTTCAGAAAAATTTTACATGATATGATATTAATGATCTTGTTTAATGATTTTTTTGTATTCCAGCAGGGTACTTCTCTTTAGAATGGGCAAGAATATGGATCTTTTTCAATCAGGTAGCCAGGTAGCTGTCTTCCAGCTTTCTTGAAGTGAGTGCCTCCAGTGCTACATTAGTTTGTTGAAAGATTTCAGTTTGCATTCCATCAATTCTTGGAGCTTTATTATTATTAATTTTTTAAATAAATGTTTTATTGTGTATTGTGTGATAGTTTACATGGGGAAACATTAATTTTACAATCATTCTGTAATATATTGTTTCATTGCCATAGTTACCATCCTGTCCATGCATCATCCCCCAAACAAAGGCTTTCTTGAAGTGAGTGCCTCCAGTGCTACATT